TGAGTTAAGACATTATGAATATATTAAAACAAGAACAGGTTTATAAGGAGAGGAAAAATTCACATGAACTAAGAAAAAGCCAGCAACTTTTAAAATATATATAACATATATATTAAAATAAACAATATATTTATATTATTTATTTATTTTTAGAGAGAAGGGAAGGGTGGGAGAAAGAGACAGAGAAATATCATCAGAACTTGGGCCCAGGAATCAAACCAGTGACCTTTTGCTTCATCGATGACACCTCGCCAACTGAGCCACACTGGTCAGGATGAAAAAGCTAGCAACTTGAAAGACATGTTCATCGTGTGGTGGCTGCTTGGGTTCCCCTCCCACACCCTTAAGGACATAACTTTCACTTGCCTCTTCACCTTCCTTCATCTTCAGGGTTTTTTTTGGTGGGAAAGTTTGAAAAACACAGATTAAAAACAACAACAACAACAACAACAAAAAACCAAACATGGCTGGTCTATCCATTAGGAGCTGGTTTGGCTGCACAAAACTGAATATACAACTTACAGGCACTTAACTAAATCTGGGTCTTTTTATCCTTGCCTATTTCTATGGAACAAGAAGTCTGGAGGTGGGCAGCTCACTCAGCCACCTGTGCCATTGGCTTCTGTCATGTTCACCCTCTCGTAGTCACAGAGTGGCCTCTTCACCTCTGGCATCCTGTGGAGAAGAGAGGACAGAGGACAAAGGGCAAAGGGCAAGCACGTGTTGAGTCTCAACACTTTGAGTCCTTCCCAGTCGTTTCCACTTCTATCTCATCAGCCAGCACCATGTCACATGGCCACCACAGCTGTGAAATGCAGTGTTTTAGCTGGGCATGGGTTCTGCTGAGGAGAGAAGGGATACTGAGTAGACAGCTTGCAGTGTCTGTCCCAGTTGGCTTTTGCCCTTTCTTTTGCTTCATGTCTTCAGGCCTGGTACAGTTCTAGGCACACACAAGAGACATGCTGATGCTTCTATACTGATTGAAAAGGATCTCCTCACCTTGAGGCAAGACATTAAACACAAATGACATAAATAGTGTAATGCAGTACATGCTCAAATGCCAGAACGACTGGTGCTGCAGAATACAGAGAAGGGACAGGTCAATTTGAGTTATGGAGGAGCGCCATCAAAGGTGTAGAAATCTGAGCTGAATTTTGAAGATTGGGTAAGGGTCAACAGATCAACAGCAGCTGTCATGAAACCCTGTTTAGACCCCTCTCCACTGCTCAGATGGTGGAGGGGGAAAACCTGTGTGCAGCTTCTTTTTCTTGTTGCAGTCTGGGTGAGACTTCATGCATGGCCCACACCCAGATACAAGTCTTCTTTGTCTCTTTCTTGGAATTGACTCTACCTGAGATAGAAGAATTGGTCAATATATGGGTCTCCACCCTAGAGAGCTCTTCATACCCAAATGCACCTGCTCTGTGTCTGCCCTGATCCCCAGCACCCTTAGCACTCATTGCCACTCAGTCACATTTCCTTTCCAGCCAGCTCCCAACACTCACAACTTGCTCTCCCCTGAGAACTCTCCCACGTAAGCTGGCCTTTTCCAGTTGTCACTTCCCAAGTATCACCACCATGGTATAGCCAATCTTTCTGTGGCTTCCTGATATACAACCTGCCCTCCTCAACCCCTGGCAGTTTTTATTTGTCAAATTCTTGACCTTTCTCTGCCATTTAGGTAGCAGGGAGGGCCTCAGTATTCACTATAGGCAGAGTAGGATTATTATGGGAGGAATGCAAAGCAAAAGAAAGCAGTCAGCACTTGACTTCTGAATTTCAAGACACTCCTCGAATTTATGGCAGAGGGCATAATAGGAGGCAAAGGGTTTTTGAATACTAAAACTGAGTCTCCTAAGAAGACAAAGGTTATGCTCAAAATGATAGCTTTGGAAGAGAGCCGGAGGAAACTGGAGTGAGGTTTGCTTCCTGCAGAGGAAATAATTCTGCGATTTCGGGGAGAGGTGATGGGTAGCATTAGACCTCCATGTGAGTGTCTGAGGAAGGGAGCCTGAGCCCGGGTGAGCTTGAGGGATCTGGGAGCAGAGAGAACTTGACCTTACTCTCTGGAGTGGGATGGGAGGGGGAAGGGGAGCTGAGCACCCCTGTAGGCAGCGGAATGTTTTCCTGAGTGGCTAGGAGTAGCTGGAGGGGGGTGGGGGCAGGGGGAAGCTGGCTGCCAGCCCCCCAAGGGCCCCGTGCGACCTCTCCATCCGCACCCCATGCCACCATCTCACCAATGCCCAGGGAGTTTGGCTGCAGCTTTGGGAAGAAGGCAGGAGGGGAAAGCACTCAACTGATGAAGAAAAGTCCCGGAGACTGAGTTTTCCCGGGACTAAGATTAAGCTTTCTGCCATGAGGAAGAATGGGAGCTGGAGATAAAAATTACCTGACAGAAAAATGGGGAAAAGAAACACTGTCAGCATACCTCAGCTAATGGCCTGTGAAATTTGGACCTCCTGCATTTTTTCATTTTGAGATACTGCGCTATTTAAAAAAAAGTTTTAAGTAAACGTTTTAACTTACAATAGATTTAGATTTGTAGAAAAGTTGCGAAGATGGTACAGAGTTCCTATATATCGCACACCCAGACTCCCCTCATTACTCACGACTAATGAATCCGTATTGGTACATTATTACTAACAAAACCAAACCAAACCAAAAACTAAAGTGCATATATTATTAAGATTTTCTTAGTTTTTACCTGATTTCCTTTTCTGGTTCCAGGGTCCCATTATGTTCAGTTGTCATGTTTCCTTGGACTTCTCTCGGCTGTGACAGTTTTTCTGATTTCCTTATTTTTGGTGACCTTCAGAATTCGGGGAAGTACTAGTTGGGTAGTTTGTAGAATGTCCCTCAGTTGAGATTTTGCAGATGTTTTTCTCATGATGAGACTGGAATTGTGTATTTTGGGGAGAAGGACCCCGGAGGAAAGTGCCGTTCTCATCCCCTGATATCAAGGGTACATACCATTCACATGATTTATTACTGTTGATGCTAATGCAGTGTCAATCACTTGGCTGAAGTAGCATTTTGTTAGACTTCTCCATGGCAAGGTTATTCCCCATTGCCTTTCTATTTCATACTCTTTGAAGGGAAGTCATAACGTGCTGTGCAGCGCATAGTTAAGGAGCGGGGAGTTCTAGTCTGTCTCATTGAGGGCAGAGTATCTGCATAAATGATTTGGAATCCCTCTGCATGGCGGTATATTAGCCTCGTCTCCGCTTACTTAGCAAATCATTTATTTATATCAGGATGTTCACGGATATTTATTTTATACTTTGGGTTATAATCAAGTATTGTATTATTTGCTTTCTTGCTCAAATTGTTCTAGCTTTGGCTACTGGGAGCTCTTTCAATTGGCTCCTGTGTCCCTTTGACAGACTCCCTTCATTGTTTCTGTTGTTGGTTAAAAAAAAATCTTATTTTGATCACATTCTTACCTTTTGGCAAAACAAGATGCTCCAGGCTGGCATTGCATATTTCTTGCCCCAGTCCCGAAATCAGCCACTTACCCGAAGAGACCTTGTTCCTTTTGTTGGTGAATGGTGTTAAAAACAAGATCTGAGTGCCAGGCATGCTCATTGCTACTGGAGTGTTATTTTTAAGACCGCTTACCTGACAGAGCAAGGAAATCTGTGTGTGTGTACTAACCCATGTATATTTGCATACTTGTAAATCTTTTATGTATCCATCTGTATCTATATTAAGCTAAACCTGAACTCATACTGATGTCTCCAACCTTAATCCAGTACCACATGGACCATTCTCGTTTCCTTCCCTTGCTTATCTGTAACCTCCCTCTCCAACAGTGAGAAACCTGTATCCACCATCCACCCGTCATTCATAAACTCATTTCCAGTATACACGTATAGTGGTTTCATTGTCCAGTTTGTAAAAAAGTGAATCTCGTTTTTGTTTCTCCTTGTTTTCTACAATGTTGGATCTTTTAACAACGACATCATCATTCTGATCATTCCTCTTGTAGTCACGTCTTAGGGATTTTGTACTTGAATATTTGTCAAGTGCTGGTTTTACAAGGTCTTCCGTAAAGCTGGATGTCCCCTACCCCTCATTTCTTTTGGTCTTCCCAGTCCCATCACCGTCCCCATTCTTTGCATTTTGGTGGAGTGAGTCCAGAGTCTCATTTTACAGACGAAGAGACTTCCCGCAGAAATTCAGGGGCTTGCCTCACTCGGGACTGGAGTAGGTAATCTATCTTCACGATCTGTCTCTTCATTCATCAACTATTACGGAATACCGATTACATGCCAGTGCCAGCCCGGTGCCCGAGTCACCCGGCCCCGCGGGCGAGATCAGTAATAAACAGTTCGAGCGCTGGGAGGACGTTGCTGGCAGTACAGGAGGGAGCGCCCGGCGGGGTACGCAACGCCGGGATTGGGAAGGTCTGCCCCGGCTGCTCTGAGCGTTCCTGCTCCTTCCCAGGATCGAACTGCAGGGGATGAGCCCAGGGAGCCAGGCTGAACGCTCCTGCCACAGCCCGCGGGTTCTCTGAGCTCCAGGCCACCGGGTGAGGCTCCGCCCCTCCCGTCATTCCCCGCCCACCGCCGGGCCCGCCCTCCCACAGAGCCCACGCTCGGGCCCCTGACGATGTTCGCCGGAAATTGCCGAAGCCCCTCTTTTTTCCCTTCCTCTCCTTTCCCTGCTCTCCCTTTTCCTTTCACCCGGGTTCCCTCGACCGTGATTTCCCCCCTCCCCCTCCTTCCTTCCCCATTTGAAATCAAGATGGAGGCTCGCGGCTGCCCCCGGCGTCCGTGATCGCGGAGCTCCCGCCGGCCACGGGCCCTAGCCCTCGCGACTGCGTGACTCGCGCGGCGCGCGCTGCTGCCCGCGCTCCGGCCGGCGCCGCCGAGGCCGTGGCTCCGTGCCCCCGCCCCGCGGCCAGCTCGCGGCTACCGGGCGGAGTCCTCGTCTATGTGGGCGCGCTCCTCAGGCCGAGCCGCCGCCGCCGCCCGCCGCCGCCCCGGGGCTCTGCGTCCGCGCGCCGGGTGCGGGCAGCTGGGCGCTCAGCTCCGCCAGGCCCGGCGCGGAGCGGGCGGCGCGCAGCGCTAGGGGCGCGGGGCCCGAGCCGGGCGCGGCGGCCGCCGCAGCCATGAGCGGCAGCAGCGGCGGCGCCGCCGCCCCCGCCGCGTCTTCCAGCCCTGCCGCCACAGCCAGCGCGGCGGGCTCGGGCTGCGGGGGCGGCGCCGGCGAGGGGGCCGAGGAGGCGGCCAAGGACCTGGCCGACATCGCGGCCTTCTTCCGATCCGGTGAGTTCAACTGCAGAGCTGCCCGTGCGCTCGGCCCACACCGCCGAGAGGCGCGGTCCGCGGGCCCCGGCGCGCCCGGTGCTCACCCGCCCGTCAGACCCGGCGCGCTCTCGCCCGGGCCACTGCACCCCTCGCCGGGGGCTCTTGGACCTACACCGGTGGGTCCCGCTACCGCGCCGCCCGGCGCGCCGCTCCTAGGCAGGGACGCCGCCGGCTCGTCCTTCCCTGCGCCCGCCCTCGTTCCAGAGTAAAACCTCCCCGTCTCCTGACTCCGGCGACCACAGCTTTACGGTTTGCGGCGCCGGTTCTTTGTCTCTTTCTCTGGAGGGCCGAGGAGGGGGCGGCGGGAATGGCGAGGGCGGAGGCTCCAGTCCCGGAGGCAGGGCGGACGGGGGCGGCGGGCCCGGGCCCAGGAGAACGGGCTTTCATCTCATCTGGGCCGGTCTCCGTGCCGATTTGTACCTGGCCCCTCTTCGACCTCCTTAGCATCCAGGTTTCTTATTTCGGTTCTCTAGCCTGTCACCTCCCCGGCCTCGGTCTGTACTTCTGTGAAACGGGGCAGCCATGGCACCCGCTGCCCGGGGGTGGGAGGAGGTGGCCGAGAAGAAGCACGGTCAGCCGAGAGGCGGATGACCCATGGTCTTCGGGGGCGGCTCAGGAGGGACATCTGGGAACGTGGTGGCCCTGGGGAGAGGCGCGGGGCGTGAGCTTATGGGGCACTGCCTGGGTGGCTTGGAGGTGGAGGCAGTGCCAGGTGTCTCTCCGGCGAGGAGGGGGTGGCCGCGGGAGAGGCGTGCTTTGCGATCTGGAGGAGGTGCGGGGGGCGTGACATGGCGTCCCCGGGACCCCAGCGGCGGCGCCCCCTCCGGTCCTGCCTAGATCCCGCGCCCCCGCGCCCAGTCCTGTGTGCTCCCGCGTTCGGGCGGCGGCACAGAAGCTGGCAGCTGCGGCTTCAGGGTCCGCAGCCTGAAGCGCAGTGCCCAGGGGGCCAGGCGCTGGGCAGGGAGGAAACAGGCTCGACGCTGGAGAGCGGAGGAGGGCGGGCCAGGTCGGGGCTGGGGCGGGCGGGTGGCTCGGGGCGTGCGTGGGGTGCTGGTGACGGCCCCTGGCAGGACGGCGCGGCCGGGGCTGCTGGGTGAGCGGCTTGCCCTGGGGCGCGCGCCAGAGGTTGGCGGCTCAGTTTCTCTGTGGCATCTTTCAAAATGCGATCCCTAGATTCGGTGAGATCACTTTGGTAAACCGGGTCACAAGAAGCAATTTGCAGCAGGAGAGCGATTGTCAGAGGCAGAAGTTAGTAGTAACAGTAGGTACGTGGTTTGGTACTGTCTTCCCTCTTGATTTCTTGATCTTTGCCAGGCGGGGTTATTTTTTTGAGTCAGTTTAACAGCTTGGTTGTGGCTGGGCGTGACATACGCCGACTCAACAGTGTCAGTTTGGGGTTAATATACTCCTTGGTTCTCCCTTTCCCGGTGAATTCGCTGTAGAAAGTAAAGGTTTAAGAAGACATGAGATCGAAATGAAAGCCTTTTTCTTTTGTGCACGTAGCCGGATTGAGCAGTCCCTTCTTAATAGCAGAACTGGGTCGTCTTCCCTTTATGCCCTGAAGCTAAAGTCTAGCCTGTCTTCTCTGACTCTACCACCTGTCACAAAATAATAGATTCTGTGCAAAGTTCAGCTCTCTTCAGTTAGAAAGGCTCCTGTGCTCTGCAGATGGGATTTATGGTGCTTGTGAGACCAGAATTTCTCACATCTTTATTATAAGTACTAGAGAAATCGCTTCTTAGGTTCCTAAGAACCACCATAGACATCGGGCTGGACTGGACACCCCCAGTAAACTTGCTTCGTGCCAGCGTGGCCCTCCTCAGGATTTATCTGAGGAGGTAACTGTTGGTGGCCAGCCCAGGTCCCATGCTTGCTCCCAAGCCCTGGCTCCTGCTCGGGTTCGTCTTGGGGCAGAGCCAGACAGTGCTGCTTACTGGCTTGCTCCTTTCTTTCACCCTCGAAAATGACTGGACAAACCGTTGCATTAGTTGTCTGCCTTGGAGTCAGGAGCTAGAGCAGATTTTAAGCAGGCAAGCAGTTGTGCCGTCCCAGCCCAGGGGTAGTCTGGAATGTTTTTTGAAAGTGCTTCTCCCTCCTTTGGGCAGCTCTGAATTCCTGACCTAGATCTTGGCTCCAGCATCTGGGGCAGTGAAGTCTAGCGGGGGCGGGGGACGGGGTAGAGAGGGACCCTTCAGTTCGATGGGTGGGGGTGGAGTGGGGGGTAAGGACAGTCAGGACAGATGGAGCAGGAAGGCTCTGATGGGGCGCTCCGCTGGTAGAATGGCTCCTGGGCAGTTTTGATTGAGAGTGGACGGCTCAATGGAGAGGTCAGTCCATTCGTAAAACGTGGCATCCTTTCCAAAGATGCAGAGAAACAGAAAACCGGGTGCTGTTGGCTGCGGTGGACATTTCCAGGTGTGAGCATTTCTCCAGGGTGTTCTTGAGCCTGGGACCTAACACGGCCAGTGTCGCCCAGACAGGGCGTTTCTCCTCGTCGTTTTTTCATTTCTCAGCCCTGAACTGTTTGCTTGGCCACCTTATTTTCTTTCTTTTTTTATTTCTTGTCTGCCCTGCGTTAAATTTTATCTTTGTAGTCACACATTGAACACTGGTACTCCTGGTTGGATGACAGAAGGGGAAAGACTTTATAGTTTAATAGGACCTTTAAACAATTGGCATGGGCTGCCACGTGATTTCTGTATTACCGGAAGTGCTTAAGGAGGGGGGGCGCTGCCCCCGGCCTAGGTTCGGAGTTGAGTGCGGAGATGGCTCAGGGGCTGTTTCGCACTCTCATAGGGTGTGGTTCCCTCTGAGCCTCTCGCATCTGAGAGTTAGTCTGCGTTTTGTCGGGTAGGTCAGATCTTCAAAATAATGATTACCTTTCCCCTCCGCTTTGTGGCACCCAGTGTCCACCTTGCTCCCGTCTTACCTCATATGCTGTCATTGCATTCTCCACTCAGGTGCTGGGCACAGAAACCTATTCATTTGGACAATCCCGATCCCCCTTTTATAGATCTGGCACTAGCAGGCAGGTCAATTAGTGTTGAATTGAGCTGAAAAATGTGGTTACGGTATGTTAAAGAGCAGCTGAGATTTTCTGCAGGTGTTGGTGAATTTCAGACCTCCCTGTTCTCCTTTGTACAGAGCCCAGCACCAAAAAAGATACAGCAGGTTTCAAAGCAAAACAAACCTTCCCCCCGCCCTCCCACCACACACACCACCACAGAGGTGAGCCAGTACAGTTTTTTATTATTTAATTTAATGGTACTTTTTAATTTCCAGAAGGCTTTTAGGGAGATGGAGTGACTTGCTCAGCATGGAGCTCTGGTAGAGGCGAGGTCAGGGCTGGGCAGCACCCGGGCCAGGGTGCTCTTTCCTGGATGCCTCTCGTGGCCAGGACTTTGCTTACATTCATTCTCTAGCCCGCTGGCACCAATTGCTTTTACTGCCAGTCTATTTCTGGGCTCTGTTCTTGTGGCAATAAATTATTCTTTCGGAGCTCTCTGTTTAACCCTGCATGTGTGCGTGCGTGCGTGCGTGTGTGTGTGTGTGTGTGTGTGTGTAGGGGGTGCTTACATAAATGCAGTATTTTTAACTTGCCTGGCATGTTTTAGGTTGGCACTAAATGAATGTGCAGAGACTGAAGACTTGTGGTTTTTCTGAAGTGTCATGGCCCATTGTTCTGGATTTTTCCCCATTATTAAATCTTATTCGGGGCTCCTGGTGGCAGCCCTTCTCTTTGCAATGGAAGACATGAAGGAAAGTGAGTCTGTTACTTAGGAAGGGAGCCACGGGAATCTCTCTCCATGTTTTGACATGATGGTTTGCCCATGGAGTATCCGAGGAAGCATGTCCTCATATTTCTGCCTCTGACACCACTTAGGCAGCTGGCCTCCCAGCTTGCCAGGCTACTTCTGTGTGTACGTAGAGTCTGGCAGCGTTGGTCTTTGTGAGCACCAGGAATAATTATTACATTATGGAGTCAGTCCTCGTTACCCTCAATATTTTGAAAAGGAAAGCTGAAGAAAATGCAGATTGATTGTGAATGTTGGTTTCTCGTTTTTTGGCATGGTGGGGCACCGTTTTAGAGGAAACAAAGAGATAGCTAAAAAAAAAAGTTCTATAAGTGACTTTCAAGAAATCAGAGAGCAGTAAAACAGTCATTGACTGAAACTTTTCAATGAGAACTTGTAAACTGACTTATTGACGCGTGATACTGTAATCCTTTAACTGTCCCAGATTCAGATGAAAATTTAAATGAAGCCATTTTAACCACTTAATAGATTAACCAAGATTTAAATGAAACCTAAGGTTCTGTTAAAAATGAAGTGTGTAGTTTAAATATATTCTTCAATTGTATATTAAAAACGGGTGATTAAGACAGTCTTTTTAGATCTTTTAAATATTATGATAAATTTGGGGTTTTTTTAATGGAAAGTGAAAGATGCGTTTGAAGCTGTCATCTAAATTAGCTGTATCTGATACTTATTTTAAGTTTATGTACTTGACTCCTCTACTGAGAAAATAAAATTTTATCTCATATCCTTGGCAGAATTCCAGAGTAAAGTCAAATTCTTAATCAATAGCCACACTTTACTCCCCAGTAACATCACTTATGTTGATAGGGATGAATTGTGCTTTACTATAATTATAAAAAGCAGTCTTAACACCCCCCCCCCTTCATTCCTCTTCAGTTCTATAATGAATTGGTTTTTATTTCCTTAAGTGCATTGTCTTGACAAATTTTTAGTAGCGCCCCTGGCAGGAACAGCAGCCACTCCGTGGACAGTGGAGGGATGGATCTGAGCGAGAATACTGCCGTTCTGGTGGGAGGTCGTGGCATGCGCTGACATCCCTTCTCATTTCTTTCTCTGCCGGGTGTTCAGCTGCGTAGACTGGGGGAGCTGACCGAGTGACTGTGTCGTTTGTCTTGTGGATGGAGAGGCTGTCTTTCGTGT